GTTAACCTGAATAGGAAATGTGCAAACTGCTGGCTTTTATGACATTATATGTTTGTGTGTATGTGTGTGTGTATGTATGTATGTGTGTATGTATGTGTGTGTATGTACATTTCTCTCTCTGTGTGTGTATGTGTACAGGGTCAGTTTTACGCGATTTTGTAAGAGTTTTTTGCATTTCTCCAGTGGTTTTTCAAATTATTTTCCAGGTGGCTTCACGAAAAAGACGAAGAAGAAGAAATAATAAAGGGGACTTTCGATCGACTACTGTACCAATAGAGAGAAGAAGGAAGGTCACCCATTCAAATTGCTGGCCGCGATCAACTAACAAGTTAAGCAATAATGGAAACTATTAATAAAACGCTTATTATTGACTTTTTATTGTTGAAGTACGTAATTCGATTTAATTACTACTTTGTTTTAAACATTATAAGTCAAGTAAATATTTCATATATCTTGTTTGTTAAAACACATGTAGTGTCATTTAAATCCAAGGAAGCCAAATAGTTTGACACTTATTAGGCGCTATAAGATGAGAAAGTCACATTGCTGCCATTAGTGTTAACTAATAAAACAAATATGTCTTGGAGCTTTAAATAAATTAAATGGGCGTCCTCTCCAAGTCAATTGACCACGAAGTATAAAAATAACCATGAAACAGAATTAATTCTTATTTTTAATTTTAAATAAATTGATGAAATAAAAACAGTATGCCGTTCAGAAATCTGCAGACCCACTACCCCAGACTGCCTAACTTGAACAGCATCGGCCGATCGTCCGGCATCGACATGGAGGAGCCCCCGCAAGATGTCATGGACGATAATTCAAAGTCGGACGAACAAGCTGATGATTTTAGTTTAGATTCTGCGTCTGATCTGATTGAGAAGTTTCAAACTTGCTTTTCCTACTTGCACACGAGCAAAGGAAATATAAATTACTTGAATAATTTCAATGACCAGCAGAAGCAACTTCGCCTGCTGCATTGTTGGAAGGGCGCAGAGATGGCAAAGCAGGTGGGGGTCATCTGGCGAAAAATGAAGGAGCTGTCCCTGTTGGATCTGCAGAGAAACATACTGCAAGATCTGGAATGTTCCAAACATCTGGAGAAGAAAATTAGTTTGTTGCTGTTTGAAGACATTGTGCAGTGGAAGACGATCTGCGAGAATAAAATTAATGGTCCCATTAAAACAAACATCGTCGAACTGGCCTATGTTTGTGATGAATTGAGACGTCAGTTGAATTGCTGCGACAATTTTATCAACGAAATCATGAAAATCTCATCCGACTTGAGCGTCTTCTGCATGCAGACTTCAAAAAATTTAATCAAACTCATAGCAGAAATAGAAAGATCAAATATTTTTTTTTTCTAATGGTTAGTTAATTTAAAAAAACCAGGATTCGAAGTCTGGGGCAATTGTGACATCGCAGACTTGATTAATAATTTTTATTGGGAAATCGTCAAAGACTTGAAGACTTTAACTACCTAATCACGCAATACAACACGTTCCATTCGACATTCTCCTACATCCACTTCTTGGGGGTCCATAACAATAATAATAATAAATATCATAATTTTGTTTGTGACAGTAGAAATAGTTCCATTCCATATTTACTGTTGTCCGACCTGCTTACGATCCTTGCATACGAGAGGTCGAAGTATGCGGCCGTCTCGTGCAAGGAGTACCTCTTCGGAACGAAAGAATTACATGCTACTCTTAAAAGTTATTCGTCATCATCACCACCACCACCATCATCATCAGCATCATTAGTCAATTGGTCTCTACTTTACAACAAAAACAAAACAAGTTTTCAGCAAATTCCTGGGGAGAACGAACGCCAACAACAGCAACATCCTCCATCAACAACAGCAACAACATCATCATCAGGAATCCTATCTGGAGGATGATGAGGACAACAATGAGGATGTCGTCTCGTACGTCATGGAGTTGCATGCGGAGCCGATTTTCTCCTCCTACTCTCCAGTTTTCGACTTTCTGCGAAGGGAAAGAAGTTTCATAGAAAATTTTCTTCACACCGTCTGTCACATCACTACTCTTCTCGACTTTGAAAAAGTAAACAACATCAGTGGTGGTAGTAATAGTAATAGTAATTTTGCTGGTAGTAGTAGTTGTAGCAATGTTGCTGGCAGTAGTAATTGTGCAAGTGATGGTTATAGTAGTGGTGGTGCTAGTAGTGATGTTGGTGCTTCAGCAGTCGATGTGGTACGTACCGGTAAGAAGGAAGTGGTTGCCGATGTCATTACAGTTGTGTCTGCCGATGCTGATGATGATGGCGAAGTTGCTGGTGTGGGTAATGATCATAAGAATAACAATAGTGACAGATTGGGTTTAGCTTTTTTGAAGCCAAGTCCCAACTGCAAGAACAACAACAATGCAACAACTACAACGTCAATTTTTTATAGCAACAACAAGACAGCAACAACAACACTAAAGACATTAACTCCCATAGGCAGTTGCTCGCCATCGTCAGCATCTCGAACGCCGTCTCCAACCACCTCACAGCCGCTACAACACAAAAAGTCAAAAACCGTCTCGTGGAATGATACTCGACTTACTAAACAGGTTCATTCATTCATTCACTCAAACATTTGTCCATCCATTCATTCATTCATTCATTCATTCATCACTGAACCAACTAAACAGGTTAATCAGCTGCATTCATCCATCTATCCATTCATTCATTCATTCATTCATTCATTCATTCACTGAACCAACTAAACAGGTCAATCAGCTGATTGACAGCTACTTCAAGTGCGTCTGGAGCAGCTTCACGATCAACTTTCAAAACTTCCTAGAACATTCTCAACTACTCTGCAATCCTGATAACGATACCGACAACAACAATAATAATAATAATAAACCCGGAAGTTATAGTAGTAGTAGCAATCGCAGTAACAGTAGTGCTAGCAGTTGCGGTGCGGATGTTAAGGACGGCTATTTGGTGATTAGTCAGGGGATTTCCAACAACGATGTTGTGCCTATGGTGGTTTCCAAGCTATTTTTAGCGTCTGTTGTGCATGGTCAGTGTGTGTTTGTTTGTGTATGTGTGTGTCCGCGCGCGCGTGTGTGTGAATGTTTGTGTGTATGTTATATTTTTCACTTTATATTAATTCAATCTTTAATCTGTTTGATCTTTCTTCTGTTCAAATTTTGTTTTTTTGGTTGACTCATTTATCTGCTTACTCTGATTCATCCACTCATTTATTCATTCACCCATTCATTCACCAATCCATTCACTCTTTTAATCAATCATTCATTCATTCACCCATTCCTTCCTTCCTTCATTCAGAGGCCTTCCCTCGCCTCTTGCACTCCTACCTCCTGCACCTCTCCGCCAAGTACTCCATGCAGACAGCTGCTATCAACTGGGTCGCTGGTAGGTTATCATCATCATCATCATCGTCATCATCATCATCATCGTCATCATCATCATTATCGTTATCATCATCATCACCAGTTTGATCATCATCATCATCGATATCATTATCAAAATTTTTTTTTTCAGTTTTTCAATTCACAATTTCAATTCAGAAATTCACAGAAAACCACGGAAAGAGATTGGACAGCCACCGCCAACCGCATCATCATCATCATCACAACCGTCGTCATCATTGTCATTACCTCTGTCGTCATCATTATCATTATCAACACCTCTAAAACCATCATCATCATCATCTCTACCGACGCCAGCAGCAGCTACAGCAGCAGCAACAGCGACGACAACAACATCTAGGAACGCAATTGCATTCAAATCATCGTCGTCATCATCTAAACAGTCATCGTCATCTTCATCGTCATCATTACACTTGCTTATTTCTCCGCCACCAGTTGCGACAACGGCCACGTCGTCGCCACAAGAAGTGGCGTCGCTATCGTCTTCGTTGGTGGTGCTGGAAAATTACATGAAGTCCTTGCAGCCCATGCTGTACGTTCTCCAGTTGATGGGTTTCCAATTCAAGTCACTACAGAGAGGTAGGTCCCTTGTTATTATTGCTGTTGTTATGAGTGAGCGAAGGAATGAATGAGTGAGTGAATGAAAGAGTGAATGAGTGAGTGAATTGATAAATGAATGAAGAATGAGTGAACGAATGAATGAATGGATAAATTTTAATGATTTATGAATTAATAAATTTTACGTGCCGATATGATTGAGTTTGTATGAATTAAGCGAACGGATGAGGGATTGATTTTATGAAGAGCAAATGAACGAATGAATGATTGAATGAATGAATTAATTAAATAACAAATGGATGAATAATGCATGATTGAGTGAGTGTACAAATGAAAACAAATGAAGATTTTGCTATTGCAGACAAGAAGGTAACATATGAAACTCCTTTATTAATTTTTCCCTTTCTTTCATTCCATCACAGCGAACTTGAACCTGTCATCATTATCATCGCCACAAGCATCGTCATCATCACCGCTTCTACAGTCATCATCATCACTGTCCTGTGTCGATGATTATGATGCTGTTATGAAGAGAGTGAGCATGTCGTGTAGTGAGTCGTACTTGCTGAGTAGGAGGTTTATACTGTCATCATTATCATATCTGTCATCATCATCATCATCATCATTTTGTAGCGGTGTTAATGGCTTCATTCAGGCTTCCGTCACTATTTTACCAGTAAGTTGTTGTTGGGGGTGGTGATGATGGGGATGATGATGATGATGGTGATTTATTCAATCATTCATTCATTCATTCATTCATTCATTCATTCATTCATTCATTCACTTGTATTACTATTAATCGATCATTCCTTCATTCATTCGTTTATCCATCCACCCATCCATTCATTCAGTCACTCACCAACCACATCGAAGAAGCAATGAAGCTCAGTCTACACATCATGAGGAGTGCCAGAAACAGGAACGACGAAGATGACGACGACGATGGCAGCGATGATGATGGTGGTGCTGGTAGCAGTTACCCGATGGTGAAAATTGTAAAGAAGTATATGAAGGAGTTGGAATTCCTACACGACAATATTGTGGTTGGTTACGATTGTTATTTTTCTTAGAGGTGGCAGTAGTAGAAGTAGCAGCCAGCTGCTACTGCTCTAGCAGCAGTAGCTTCACGTTGACTTTAACAGTAACACATCATACTGCACTGTATTTATTGAAAGTAATTTGTCTATCTATCTATGCAGCATTCCATTGAGCTACTTTTATTGTTTTTATATCTAGGACAGTTTTTTCATTGAAAATACTATTTATACTGCTACTACTACTAATACTGCTGCTGCTAATAGTAATAATACTGCTGCTACTACTACTACTACTACTGCTACTAATAGTAATAATACTGCTGCTGCTACTACTGCTACTACTACTACTACTACTACTACTGCTGCTACTACAACAAATAGGATCTTTCGAATCTGTCGATGAAGTCATTCAATGAGTTGTTGTACAGGAGGGCTCTGGTCTTCTTCGTCAACAACATGCCCCCCAAAAAGATGTGGAGGAAGAAGGAGGGTAGGTCGTGGTGATGATGGTGGTGGTGAAGGTGGTAACTGTGATGGAGGAAATGTTTTTCATCTTAACCATAAAGATGTAACCGTAGATTCATAATTTATATAACAAAAATAATGCAATGAAAATATGAATTATACATTCATTCTTCTTGGGCAGTGAGACACAACAATGAGTACCTCGTCAAGTGTGTCGAGATCTTGCTGAAGCCAATTTTTTCAAGCACAAGGAGTCTGGCACCTGGCGACAAGTTTGTCTTGCTCTCCAACAACATCAACGAGACCCTGGTAGCCCTCATGGACGTCATTCTCAAAAACAAGATCAAGTTCAGGTCGGTTGGCTGGTTGGTTGGTTGACTGGCTGGTTTGTTGGCTGGTTGGTTGGTCGGTCGGTTGGCTGGTTGTTTGGTTGGCTGGTTGGTTGTTTTATTGGTTGTTGAATTCATTCATCATATGAGTCATTCAGCCAATCACAACCATCAATTGATCGACCGACCACCAACGAACCGACCACCCTCCAGTTACCAGGGTGCCTGTCTACTCGAGCAAGACATCAATTACATCAAGGCGTGGATCGCTGATGTTGTCGATGACACCAACTTGTCCGACCAACTCTTAAAAATTGACGTCTTCCAGCAGATGCACAGCGTCCTCGACTTGCTGAAACAACAACCAAACAAGCAACAACACCAGCAATTGAAGCTACAACAACAATCAGCGGGATCCCATTGGATGGCTGGTGATGATAGTGATCTCATTGTTGGGCTTACCGAGCAGCTGAACAACAACAACAAAACAGCAACAACATCAATATCGTTACAACCACCACAAGCCGCAACAATGACAACAACAAAGAACAACAACCTCATTTTGAAGCGTTCGCTCAAGAGATTTAAATTCGGTTCATTAAAGTTCAAAAACATATCAACGACGAACAAAAACACAACAACGAACAAAAACGCATCAACAACGACCCAACAACAACAGCCCAACAAACACAAACTGCAACATCAACAACAGCAACAACAACAACCTAACAACAAACCAAAATTCGTTCGCTCAGCACGGGTGAGCGCTCCTTCTCAGGAGAGTACCGATGCCTCCAACAACAACAACAACAACAACAATGTTGACGTTTTCAACAACAACGACAGCAGCAACAACATTTTTGTAGCAATTGGCGAAAGAAAGGTGATAAGTAAGAAGCAATCAACAACGTCAGCCGTTAACATACTCATATCGGCCACCAGTAACACGCTCATCAACGTCTCAGACGGTGGCTGCAGCAGCCCGACCACAACAGTCAACATCCTCCCACTCAATAGCATGGATGCAACTTCAACAGCCACAACTTCAACAGCCACAACTTCAACAGCCACAACTTCAACATCGCAGCAGCAATTAAGCAGTAGTAACTGCAACGCCACCAGCAATAATAACATGACAGCAACAACAACAACATCATTCTCATCAACAACAACAACAACGACGACATCTTTATTACCACCCCTGACATCCACAACAACCACAGCAGCTACATCAACAGCAGCAGCAACTTCATCAGCGACAACAGTAGTAGTCCAGAGACGAGATGATTGGCTGGCCCTAAGGGTGAGAAAAAGAGGAAGTGGTGGGGGTAGTGGTGGTGGCAGGGGCATATGGTCCAAATTACCCCTCTGCTTCAATGCCGGCTCCATCGATAACCCCCAAGATAATAATAATAATAACAACAACAAAAGTGGTGGTGTTTAGACGTTGTTGTTGATGTTGATGATGATGTCGTTGATGATGATGTTGATGATGATGTCGTTGATGATGATGTTTATGCAAGCTTTCAAATTCAAACCTGACATGATTGTGTATTGTGTCTTTTGTGTTGTGTTTATTCTTTTCAGTTGATGATGACGACGACGATGATGATGATGGCTACTATTATCATTCTTCTATATGACCATCATCATCATCATCATCGTCACCGTTTCTAGCACTTTATCATTGTTTTGTGTTGTTATACACCATTATATAAATATATATTTAAATATTTTTATTTATTATATATATATATATATATATATATATATATATATATATATATATATATATATATATATACAGTATCATCTTTTGGAAAGTTTAATTTTAATTTTTATTAACGTTTGAATGTTTGAATGAGTGTTTGAGTGAATAACTGTATGAATGGATGAATGATGAAAGTATGGATGAATGAACGAATGTATTAATTAATGAACCCTTGAAAGAGTGAAAAAACGAATGAATAACATAGCATAAAGTAATTTTGAACTAGTCACAATATGTAGTATATATAATATATACATATATGTATATATACATTTAGACAGAGAGAGAGAGAGAGAGAGAGAGAGAGAGAGAGAGAGAGAGAGAGAGAGAGAGAGAGAGAGAGAGAGAGAAAGTAATCACATCTGCATATTTACTACATCAAACTTTTTCATCTAACTTAACTATACAAAACTAACATTTTTATATATTTTATTTTTCACTATTTAATAACGANAATGCATTTAATATGAAAGTTTCAAAACCGATAATGTCACTACACAACGTTGTATATCTCACACCAAGTGGAATATCATTTTGCAGTTTATCAATTCATTCACTCATTCGTTCGTTAATTCATCCATTCATTCTTTCATCCATCCATTCGTTCATTCATTCGTTCGTTCATTCATTCATCTATCTATTCATTTTTTTTCATTCGTATTTCCCGACAGCGCATACAATTTTATAGCAAATTTAAAACAAGTGTATTGTCTTCTTGTGTTCTTCTTGTGTATGTGTTCTACACACACACACACACACACACACACACACACACACACACACACACACACACACACACACACTCACACATACAGTCAAAGACACACATACATACGTACACACACACATAGATACATACGTATATACTCATACATATACATAGAGAAAGGTATACCTTGATATATTTATCATATCTGTTTCTCAATTACAGCTAGTCATTAAGTATTTTACTGCAACTGTATTGTATCATTTTATATAGTTATAATAATGTTAATAATTATTGTTGTTGTTATTATTATTGTTGTCTGTTTGTTGTTGTTTAGCTATTGTTGTTTGTTGTGTTTGTTGTTTAAAATGTAGATAAAAAAAACCTATGTTAAGTTGAATCTTTTGATTAATAATAATAATTATTATTTATTATTATTAATTATTATCAATTATTATTTATAATTTATATTATAATTAATATTTCTATGACTATAGTCGTTTGTTGTTGTTTTTGGTTAGTCAATCAAACCTTCAAATGAGTAAATGTTAAAATCTTGTTTGTTTGTTTGTATGTATGTTTGTATGTGTGTTTATTTGTATGTGTGTTTGTTTGTATGTTTTTTGTATGTGTGTATGTTTGTATATCTGTTTTCAGTTAATCGAAACTTTCAAATGAGTAAATGTTAAGATTCTTTTTTGTATATTTTTGTTTGTTTGTATGTTTGTTTGTTTTTTGTATGTATGTTTGTATGTTTTTTTGTATGTGTGTTTGTTTGTATGTTTGTATATCTGTTTTCAGTTAATCGAAACTTTCAAATGAGTAAATGTTAAGATTCTTTTTTGTATATTTTTGTTTGTTTGTATGTTTGTTTGTTTTTTGTTTGTTTGTATGTTTGTTTGTTTGTATGTTTGTTTGTGTGTGCGCGTTTGATAGTGGTCATACATAGGCAGGCATACTTCATTCATCTCAATTGTAGCAATTGTTATGATTAGTAACTGTAAAGTATCGTTACAATGACGTCATTAAATTATGCAGTGTAATAATAATAACAATAATAAATATAATAATAATATTTTTAATTTTAATTACAACTTTTAGTTAATTTTTGTCTGTAATTTTTTTCAGAAAAATAATGAGTGAAGCTATATCCCTTTGTTTTGTTTGAAAGAATCATGTTGATTGATTGATTAATTAATTAAAGAATGTTAATTAGTTAATTAATTAATGTTTTTACTCGTTAATTAGATGGTGATAAGTAATTACAATGATGATGATGATGATGTTGTTGATGATGATGATGTTAAACCATTTTATTCTCTTTCGTTTTAAGCTTTTTTTTATTTTGTTATGACACTTTAACCGGAATAAAATTACTTAACTGTCTTTGGTAGTTTTGTTTTATTATTGTCGTTATTATTGGCTGAGTGATTGGTTGGTTGGTTAAATAATTGGTTGAATGATCGGTTGGATGATTGGTTGAATGATTGGTTGAATGATTGGTTGATTGGATGATTGGTTGAATGATTGGTTGAATGATTGGTTGAATGAATGATTGGATGACTGGTTGAATGATTGGTTGATTGGTTGGATGATTGGTTGAATGAATGATTGGATGACTGGTTGAATGATTGGTTGATTGGTTGGATGATTGGTTGAATGATTGGTTGGTGGTCGGTTGGTTGAATGATTGGTTGAATGAATGATTGGATGACTGGTTGAATGATTGGTTGATTGGTTGGATGATTGGTTGAATGATTGGTTGAATGATTGGTTGGATGACTGGTTGAATGACTGGTTGAATGATTGGTTGGATGACTGGTTGAATGACTGGTTGAATGATTGGTTGGATGACTGGTTGAATGACTGGTTGAATGATTGGTCGGTTGGTGGATTACTATAACTTATAACTTCAATCGACCAAAACTCCCATCAATAAAATGTGTAACATGACGTATCCTACTTATCAGCCTCAAGTAATCCATAACAACAGCGTGTGTGTGTGGTGTTCCACCGTGCCAATATATTATATTATTATTATATTATTATTGTATTACATTATTATATTATTATTATATAATTTGTCCTTAATTATAGTTTAATTATAACAAAAATACATTATTACAAGATAGTACATGGTACATAGATGAACTGACGAAGAATGTAAAAATGTACCTACTAAAAATGTGAGTGAATTATTATTGATTGAATGAATGAACGAATGAATGAATGAACGAACGAATGAATGAACGAATGAATGAACGTATGAATGAACGTATGAATGAATGAACGAACGAACGAACGAATTAAGAAACACTGGGGACTGTAGATGTAGATAGCATACAAATATTGGTGGTAATGTACAAGTGTTATTATAATACATGAATTCACACTGCCAAATGTATGAGTGAATGTATAAATGAATGAATGAGTGATTGAATGAATGAATGAGTGATTGAATGAATGAATGAGTGAATAAATGAATGATGAATGAATAGATAAAAGATTGATTGATTGGTTGGTGGGATGATTGATTGGTTAAGCCTTTATATAACAAGTATATTAAAGAATGAACGAATGAATGAGTAAATAAATGAATGAATAAATGAGTTGATCATAATTATTAAAATAATAATAAATGTTATTATTATTATTCCTATTCCAGTGCCGGATGTTTGTCGATGGTCAGCTCGAGGAAATATAGATTATAATATTTCTTTAAATTAGGTTAACAAATTATGTTAAATTAATAGTTAATGAACGCAAACACCCGCACACACACGCGCGCGCGCGCACACACATATATATCATATCTGTAAGAATTTATAAATATATATATATATATAAATATATATTCATTAATATATATATATAATTGAATGTTGGTAATAGACCATAATTTTTACAATATTCTATAAATTCTACCGAATGTTTGGCGTTAATATGTTTGTAGTTCGTTTTTTCGATTTTAATCATTAAAGTTTTTTGGAGAAATTTCACTTTGGATTAAAATTCAAAATTAACTTATTTTCGGAATTCATGTTGCAAATAAGGCCATAATGACATTGTAAATAATGACAAAGAAGATTATGATGCTATCCTTGAAGAAGAGGAGACCAACAAAGATGGACCAACAAAACAACAACAACAACAACAACACACGTTTAGACGACATTTTCCCCGAGATCGGGGGCTGCCGTTTGGCTACCTATGATGAAACCAAAACACCCCTCGACGCCATCCACATCTGTCACTCGCCTCAGTATCACGCAACCCCGCTTTCACCCTGTCCTTCTCCACCTGCTCTCTCCATCCCAACCAATCGCGGACGACCTCTTCCTACCACTCCTTTAACCTCGAACTCCAACACTCGCAAAGATGGACCAGCCAATAAAGAAATATGACACCTAATTTCCATCTAAGTTTACTTTGACAAAGTAAATATTTCCCTATATATACAGCAAGGAGCACTGACGATGATTCATTCGGAATCGAAATATGGCCTTATTTGCAGCATGAATTCGAAAAATAAGTTTATTTTGAATTTTAATAAACTAATCGTCTCCAAAAAACTTTAGTGAGAAAAATCGAAAAAACGAACTACAAACATATTAACGCCAAACATTCGGTAGAATTTATAGAATATTGTGAAAATATAATTAAATATAAACAATTAATTTAAATGACATATATATATATAATATATGACCGATTTCTTAAATAAAACATATATGGTAATAATATAAAGGAAATGATATTAATGATGTCATCATCATCGTCAGAACTTGGTAGCATCATCATCGTCGTCTAGCTGACTGACCAATGTAGATCCGCTGCAATTAACTCTTATCGCTGCTGAAGCTGCTGATGATGATGGTGCTGATAATGATGGTGCTGCTGATAATGATGATGGTGGTGCTGATAATGATGGTGCTGCTGCTGATGATGAAATGAGTTTCTCTTCTTGTCCTAGTCTCTCTGTAGCCGAATATTCGCTTCATTTCGTTTCGTTTGGAGTTTTTTTTATGCAATGAAAAAAATGAAATCATGAAAATAATTTCACGCTTAATCATTTAACCAATTAAAAATATAATAAGTAAATAAATGTAGACTAAAATAATAATGAATCCATTGTAACACTGAACACCACCACTAACACCACCATACTTACCTCATCTTGAAGCCGTTCAGTTTGGCATTACTGCTACCAACCCCGCCACCATTATAACCATCATCATCATCATCATCGCGGTCATCTTCATCGTCTTCGTTACACCTTCTACAACAAATTTCAATTGACCGGCAGAGACATTTGATGAATCGGTTGCTGTTGTTGTTCTTACAGCAGCAGGGGGATGGCGTGCCCTGGCTTGAGGTCAAAGGGCAAATAAATCGTAGACAGGGTAGCGAGGTGGTGCCCTGGTAGTTGGGGCACAGAGGGATCTGTCGGAAGATTTTGAACTTGTGGAGCCAGTATTTCGAGAGCGGCAGATCGTAGGTGGAGGCGAGTTGAGTCATCAGGTAAGATTTCTTTTGTGTTGTTGCTGTTTGTTGCGATGCCGTTGTTGTTGAGGAGTTTTGATGATGATGCTGTTGCAGTTGCAGCGGTGATGATGATGATGATACAGTTGTGGCGGGGAGGTGCTGATGCTGATGATGTTGTTGTTGCGACATCTCTCTGAGTATGTCCCAGTAAAACATGCCGCGAGTCTTTCTCGACCCTATGTTGTTGTTGTTGTTGTTGTCGATGTTGATGATGATGTTGTTTGTGTTGACGTCATCATCATCGTCATCATCATCATTACAACCATCATCGTCATCATCATCATCATCATCACCTGGAATGGTGTTATCCAGTATAAATCCCAGAACACCCCCAACGAACATGTTCGTCTTCAGTAGGACCACTACCACATTGTCCAGCCCCTTGTTGCCTTACAACAACAACAACAATAATAACATTAATAATAATAATTATTAATAATTAATCATAATAATAATAATTATTATGATTAAGGTCAATCACACCAGAGCTTCGGTTTCATTTTTGCAAGCTGAACACTTCGAATGACGATCTAGTGGTCGGGAGTTCACCATTTAAGTAGCAGCGGGGAATTCATCACGGCCGACATGGTTCTAAGAAGCTCGAATGCGGCCAAGAGATTGAATGTTACCTCGATAGAAAAGCTTGATGTAGATGATTAATTTTTTGTCAATAGCCAGTTTTTTCTTTTTTAAATGGACAGTTTCTTCTTATAATTATCGGTTCTTTCGGTATTCGGCCAAATAGTAGGTCAAATATTCGGCTATTCGGTGCATCTCTAAACAACATTATTATCGTCATCGTCGTCGTCATCATCATCATCGTCGTCATCATAACCAACCAGTGTCAATAATGTTGATGTTACTGTTGATCCATTCTGGGATGGCTAGCCCCGTCAGGATGGAGAATCCTGGATGGATGGATGGATGAATGAATAAATGAATGAATGAATGAATGAATGAATGAATGAATGAATGAATGAATGAATGAATGAATGAATGAATGAATGATCATCGTCATCATCGTCTAGAACATCATCATCATAGCCAATAAATTAAAATTTCAACTCAAGTTCAAATAGAAGTGTTGCAAAGTGCAAATTTGAAAAATAGACGATGAATGAATGAATGAATGAATGAATGAATGAATAATCTTCATCATCATCATCATCAACATTACTACCATTATCATAACCAACCAATAATAAAAAGATTTCTGCTAGAGTTCAAGTTAACATGCTGTAAATTTGACAGTCCAACAGCTGTTATCATTCCTGTATGAATGGATGAATGAATGGATGAATGAATGAATGAATGGATGAATGAATGAACGAATGAATGAATGGATGAATGAATGTATGAATTGATGAATGAATGGATGAATGAATGAATAATGAATGGATGAATGAATGAATGAATGAATGATTGAATGAGTGATTCAAAAAGAAGTGAGTGCGAAACTAGCCAAACAGTGTGAAGAAAGTCCCGCCGATGACCGGATCCGGAATAGCCAGGAAGATGGCTCCCACCTTCACGAACAGCCCGAAGACGATCATTATCAGGGCGGACACTTGGATGACCACACGACTTCCAACCTAAGATGGTGGTGATGATGATGGTGGTAATGATGATAATGATGGTGGGTGATGATGGAGAAAATGATGATGAAAATAATGGCAATGACGTCACGATCCCGCACCTTGGTGATCCCGACAACTCCGACATTAACACTCGTGGACGTCGTCCCATTGCCAGTCCCAAACAATCCGTCCAACATGGAGCCCAGACCTTCTACCAGGATGCCTGCGTGTGTGTGTGCGTGTGTGTGTTCGTTGTTTTCTATCTCTCTGTTCTCTTATAATTTATGCAAAGCGATGTGGTCGAAAGATGGAAATCCCGACCTCTATTAATAGCATGGACGGGAGGGGGAGGAGCGCCGGCCAGCTTGGCGCATGAATAATAATCACCGACGCTTTCGATCGTGGTGGCTAGCACGCCCGATAAGATGGCGAACACTCCTGATAGGCTGAACGTCGGAATTCCCCACTGACCTATGAATAAATTATGCTAATTAGGTCGAGGCAAAAATGCGGGTGTGATTTTAAGAATTCTATAAATAGCTGCAAACGTTAAGTCGGTTATGATTATGATTGTCATTCTTCGAATCGTTATCACTGCTAGATTATTATTATTTCACCATCATCATCACCATCATCATCATCATTAACAACACCAACATCACAATCATCACCATCATGGAACCAACCAGGATAGGGGATCCTGAACCAGGGAGCAGCGTGGATGGATGGCAATCTGAGGTCGGTTCTTGCGTGGTAACCCGCCTCTCCCGGGTTCGAGGGCAGGCTGTTTGTCGCTGTCAGAATGTAACACAGCAGGCTGCTCACCAAGATAGACAGAACGATCTAGTGTAGATTGATGGATGAACGATGGATGGATGAATGTATGGATGAATGTATGGATGAGTAATGAATGGAGGAATGAATAAATAAAAATGAATGAATAAATGGACAGACAGATAAATCTGCGAGCAATAAACTGCTATCAATTTAACAATTCATCAATGAAAATCTCAAGAAACAAAAAAAAACAGACAAGCAGGCAGACAAACAATCAAAAACAAACAAACAAACAAACAACTAGACAGACAGACAGACAGACAAACGAACGGGAAACATCTTGAAAAGAGGAAATCTATGTTTGATGCAGCCCTGCTGCTTGCCATAGACGAAGCAAGGGAGCCTTATCCTACCAAGGTACTGGGAGAAGATGATGACCAGAGATATCGTTCTAATTTCATGGCACGTTTTCAAGTTTAATAAAATTTACAATCCAATCTTAATGGTCAGCGTCAAACATTCGACCCCAACAAAATGCGGAAAACAGTTAAGTTTCATACAGATATGAGTAACTGATTAATAACTACATCATCATCATCGCCAACGTCATCATCACTATCATCATCACCAACAACATCATCATCATCATCAATGTAAAGATTAAATTAAAAAAGTAAAGTGGTCACTGACAAAATGGCGATGCCCCAGTGCTTGGAGGCCATCTGTGGGGCTGATTTGAAGAGGGAGAGTCCGAGGAGAGTGACCGTGGGACAGATGGTGAGGGGGCCGATGAACTTCATCATGCACCCCACCAAGCCACTCCCTCCTACCAACACCTCAAATATGGCCGCCAACATTATGCAGCCCTGAATCTTGATGTAGAGGGAGTTAATGAATGAATGAGCGAATGAATGAAAGAATGAATTAGAGAATGAATGCGAAAATGAATGAATGAATAAATGGGTGGATGGATGGATGGATGGATGGATGGATGCATAAATAAATGAAAAAAATACGAAATAAAAATTAAAAATTCCGACGATTAAATAGATTGAAAGCTGTCAAATAAATCAATCCAAAGAATTAAGAACATAAATTAGCAAATGAATGAATGAACGAACAAATGAAACAACCTCTCTCAATCTTGTCATCCATATCTGTCGATGTTCTTCACTTCCGGATATGATGTAACCGGAAGTGATGTTGTTGTTGTTGTAAGGTGTTGATGCTGCTGCTGTTGTTGTACTATCATTGTCTGCAGACATACATTAGAAACACCATCATCATCAACAACAACAACATCATCATCATCATCAACAACAACAACAACAACATCATCAACAACAACAACATCATCATCAACAACAACATCAACAACAACATCAACAACGTCAACAACAACATCATCAACATCATCATCATCACTAACTGAGAGCATCCACAATATTATCGGGGCACTTCCACTGGGGTAGGCTGAGGTAGGACAGGGTTGGAACTAGGAGGGCGAATGTGCCTGCCTGTACTATGGGGAGTCTGTGTGTGTGTGTTTGTTTCTCAGTGTGTGCGTGTGTGTATTTGTGTATGGCAAGGCACATACACATACATATACGTGTGCCATACAAATGCACTAACAACATTTCGATACAATCTTGTGACAATTAATAATGCAATGACTTATATTCTAAAGAATCACTTGTCTCTTTCTCTCTCTTTCTCTCTCTCTCTCTTTCTCTTTCTCACTTTCTTTCTTTCATTCAATCTCTTCCTTTCTTTCTAACTGAAAACAACTTCTTTTATGTTTTTGATACTGGCAACAAATACAACAAACAGTTATTAAAGAATGAATGAATAGGTGAATGAATGAATAGATGAATGAATGAACGAACGAACGATAATGAATGACCGAACGAACGAACAAATGAATGAATGAATGAATTAATGTAACACCTGTACGCTATTTAAATACTTTAATTTACATTCTGAAAAAATATGCTATGGGTCATTAAACTCAATGTGTAGAACGAGCGAGTGAATGAATGAATGAATGAATGAATGAATGAATGGATGAATGAATGAGTTTTTGAAAAAGAGCAAACGAATAAATATAAAAATAAACTTTCAAAAAGTAGACCAGACAAAAATAAAAAAAAATATAAACGAATGAATGAACGATTGAATGAATACAAAATGGATGGATGAATGAATGAATGAACGAACGAACGATGAACGAAAGAACAAACGAACGAAAAATAAAAGAAAAAATTTGATGATGATTGATTAGGAAGAAAAACTATTCAACACCATAGTGATGAAAAATAATAATAACAATAAAAGTAATAACAATAATAATAATAATAATAATCATAATAAACAGTTCGTGTTAAGAAGCATTACATTGCAACTGTACAAATGATCACCATCAAGCATGATTCATAACCATCACAACAACAACAATAATAACAATAATAAACAACAACAACAACAAATAACTATAATAAACAACAACAACAACAAATAACTATAATAAACAACAACAACCTCTACAACAATAAAATAACAACAATAACCATAACCATCATCATCACCGACTTATCCCCAAAAAACTGTTAAACATCAAATCAACCTGACACCAAAGAACATTAAAATGACCAACCTGACACCAAAGAACATTAGAATGACCAACCTGACACCAAAGAACGATTGAACGAGGGTGATAATACCGGAGGCAACGAACAAAGTGCCAGTGATTTCACTCTTTCCCACATTATCGTCAAACATGCAAATGGACGGAGCCAAGAGGATCGGCACAGTCAAGTTTGCAACACACATCGTCATGTAATGCTGGACATTATAAATTGGGTATATTTATATTATAAAATAATCATTCACGACAATAACACAAGTTAGCGAAACTCAAAAATTGTATCTTGATACCAATTTAGCAATACCAGCTTTAATGCGAGTATGCTTAAATGAGATTGTACAACTCTTTCAGCCAGGCTTGTATTTCGTTCATTCGGTGCTTGTTCATTGTTTTGAGTGCGCTCAGTGTGAGACAACTCACGTAAGAAAGGAACGGTTTTAAGATTTTTAAGCCGGGCCATGGTATGAGTTGAAAAAGTTTTTAAAAACAGACACGCAATAGTCGGGGAATATATTTTTTAAATGGCAAACAGTCTACTTAGAAGACGTGCACAAATTTTTAAATTGAATTAATCGCCAGTAAAAACTTGCCAACTGATTTGAGGTTAATGAGTTTCTGGCACGGAGTATCGATTTGTTCCCATCAATGAAAACAAATACTGAAAAAGGATTGGCGATACTCAGTAGCAATAACAATGATTATAACAATAACTGGAGAGCCTGATTGTATAATGGTTAAGACTTCTGCCACTGCTGCAACAAGCAGATCACACTTGTTCGCCACAAGCCGTGTGTGTTCGTCATGCAAGCTCATATACACTGTGTGTGTGTGTGTGCGTGTGTGTGTTTCTGACACCTACCATTGCAATACTGAATAGCACAGTGATACTGGGTAGTAGAAATACGAGGAACACAAGAGAGTGAATGAAAAAATGATTGAGAAAATTTTGGAGACCTGGAAAGCAAGGAGTAGGCACAACGAAACTGGTGGAGTTTCTTCGACTTTGAACGTCACCTTGACCTCTTCCTTCCAATCAAATATGTAGTCGCCATCTTGTTTTTGTTGTCGTTGTTGAAGTTTTTGTTGATGCTGCTGCTGCTGAGCTTCGAGAATGACGTCATCATCTTCTATTATTAATTTCACTTTTGGCAACTGGTCATTGGTCATCTTTGGTTGTTGTACTTTTGTGGACTTTATTTTTACTTATCAATTAATTAATTAATTAATTTATTTATTTATTACCATTTAATTAAATTATCTGCAGAAATAAAATAAAAGAAATTATAAAAAACTAACCAAAAAAATTAACAAAACGTTCAATATTTTATAATGTTAACATCTTATGATGAATTCATAAGAATAGTTACATAACCACTTCATCCCTCTCTCTCTCTCTCTCTCACTTTTATAATTTTAATCTTTTTTTACTCTCTTGTTGTATGTTTATCTCTTCCTCTATCTTCCTCTCTCTCTCTCTTTCTATCTTACACACTCTTTTCATTCCTATTTTTATCTCTCTCTCTCTCCATCCCCTCTTTCTTCAATTTGACAAATAAGTGTGCGCACACACACACATACACACACACAAACAAGCAAAATTAATAAATAAATCAATTAAGAATATATACAACACATATGACAATTTTAATTTAATAATTATAGAATCATCAAATTATTAACCATCCTAAGTTAAAAAAATCAGACATTTATGAATAAATTTAATTTTGAAATATTAAATTAAATTATTCTAAATAAATTGTTTAAATAAATTTCAAGTGTTTTTAATTAATTTTCAAAAACTCAAGTGTCACTTAACAATGTTAAGTTAACATGCATACACACAAATACACGCTCACTAACAAACACACAATTCTATACCCTCATGAGGTCTTTTGAGAGGCGCTACATAAATCCAGATTCAGAAATACACACACACACAAACACACACACACACACACACACATGATCAAAACGCACACAAGACAAACACAAAACCAGATTAGAGATCACGACCATATGACACTCAAAAACTTGAAAAATTGAGAAACAATTTTAATTTTAAAAACTGTAAAACCACCATCGCTAAACTTCAGACAAGATTTTTCTTTTAAAAAGTAAGAAAAAATAAATTTAAGTTAAAAAAAATTAAAATGAAAAACTCGGCGTAGGTTGTTTAGCAGCTGGGTGTCCTTAGTTAGATTAACTTTTAAATTTTAAAAGTTAATCGCCGTTATTATAATTTATTTATAATAAATAATAATACAAGATGGCCAAAAACATGCTATAAGAGCTGATGATACAGCTCTTATAGCAGATTCAATGAAAAAATTGCAAACAATTGTTTCCCAAACTGGTTTTTAAAAGTGAAAGAAAAGGGTCCAAATTACCATCAACAAAACAGAGTGCATGGTTATCAGTAAAAGCAAAACCACTCCTTGTTCGACCGTTGAAAGTGAGCGAAGGCCGTTACAATTATTCTAGTTTTATGTATCAAATAGTATTTTATTGAACAAAGTAGTATCATAAAATGATATATTTTTTTCAAAAAATTTAAAAAATTCTCAATTTGATTTCATTGCGATATCATTGTGACCTGACTAAACATCAAATAAAATTTACTAAATAGGATGAGTAATTCGTTGCGAAATCGTTGGAGGAAATGACGTCATGTTGACAGTAGTTATATTACTGCATGGTAGTTAATCAGCCGGTATAAAGGTTATATTCAATTTCTATCAAATAAATTTGAACAAATATCATACGCAGGCAGAACTAAATGAATTAGATAGATAGATATACGTAGTTATAATACATTTATAATGTTGTATTTACACATTCAAATTGTACAATTGTTTTATGGTGTAGTCTCAAATTATTTTCAATTCTCTCTAAAAAATTTAAACTTTTTACTATATACTAGTTACTTTTAATAACAATTTTTAGAAAATTTTCTATTTGATTTCATCGCGATATCGATGATGATGATTGTGACCTGATTGATTAAAAAGCATAAAAAATTTTGAAAATAGGATGGAGAATTTGTTATATTGGGATGTTTGTATACAAAGCGAGCAAAATTTTAATATAAAAGGGCTTATAAATCTACGCATATTGACTCGCTTGGCTTGGCTTGGCTTGGCTCGGCTTGGCTTGGCTCGGCTTGGAATCGGATGTTAAGCAAGGTGTGGTCTCAAACTATTTTGAATTCTCCCCGAAGTAACTAGAATCCATGTATACAAATAATTAATAAGATTATATGTTTATATAAAAAGCCAATATAGCAGATTCAACCAGCCAATCAGAAAGTTTCGAAGGCGTTCGTTCGATGACGTCAATTTAGTACGGTTAGCATTGTGGTTGAGACTGTATAATAGTGTAGTACATACATTAAATAAGTTTTTTACTGGTGTGAATTATTGAAATGATGAAAATGTATGGTTGAAGCGAGTATAAATAGGTGCTGAGACAACATGAAAATCAGATCAGGCATTCTGCCTCGCTTGAAGCGGTCTGTCTGATCTCATTTATTTAAATTTTTTATTTATTTTTCTTTTTATTTATTTTATTATATAGAGTTATATAGAGTTATATAGAGTTATATATGTTGCCTGTGGTTTGTGTGTTTGTATGTTGTGGTTGCTTATGCATACATACAATAATACATCATGTTTGTTTGTGTGGTAGTATTTTATGTTCTGTTTTACTCCTTTTTCTCTTTCTTCATGAGTCTTGAGTTAAGTTAATTAAACATAGGTAGGTGAGATTGAGATTAATTTATTATATAGGTAGGCTAGGGCATAAGGTAATTTAGTTACATAGGTAGATTAGGAACGTCTATTCTTTTACTCTACATGGTGTGTTTTTTTGATTTGTGTTTTTTTTTTGTTTCACACCATACATATAACAGGTACGCGGGGGTTCCTGGGTTTAGTGGGATTTTTATTGATTGAATGTGGTAGTATACATGGTTATATAGAGTTATATAGAGTTATATAGAGTTATATAGAGTTATATAGAGTTATATAGAGTTATATAGAGTTATATAGAGTTATATAGAGTTATATAGAGTTATATAGAGTTATATAGAGTTATATAGAGCGTAAATCCTATATAGATACCTTTCTTTGAGGTTCTTTTTTTTGCCGACCGGTCGGCTTCTTTGCGTTTCTCTATTTTCATTTAAATTAATTAAATAAATAAGATTTGTCCATTCATTTAGGTTCATTCATTTAGCTTCATTCAGGTTCATTCAGGTTCATTCATTCAGGTTGAAGCTTCCGGAAGAGTCATCGTGGAAGATCGGAATGGTTGTGATGTCACGCTACGTTCGTTCATTCAGTGGCAAAGAATGCGCGCCTGGCTGGGGTTCGTTTTACGGTTTCTTTGCTGTTCCTTTTTTTTTGTCAGTTGGCTGGCTTTATCGGCTGGCGGGTTTCATCGCGGCTCGTTTCTTATCATTTAAATTTAAATAAATAAGATTTTCTTCATTTTATTCATTTCATTCAGGTTTCCAGAGGAGTTCATCATGGAAGATGTCAGTTCGTTCGTTCAGTGGCAAAGAATACACGCTTGGCTGGGATACGTTTTATTCTCTTTTTTTCTGTAATTTAACATTAAGTAAGAATGCATACACGCACACGCATACACACACAATTACATTAAGTAGCTATATAGGTAGGTTAGATAGGCATAATTTTAATTGTAGATAGGATAGATAGGAAGCATCCAACACTGATGTAGTTGAATAGGTAGGCGCGTAAGTTTATCGCTTTTATTTTTTCTCGCATCTACATTACACGCATTAGCGTATTACACACACACACACACACACACAAACACATACATAAACACATATATTAGTATTTGAGCGTAATTTTATTTTCAATACACATTCTAATTTATTATTACTAAGGTTGAGAGTAATTTAATTTGATAGGTAGTTAAGGGCAATAATGTAATTCTAGGAACAATTTTGTAATGTAAATTAAAACGCTGTAAGTGTATCGATAGGTAGGTTAATTATAAGTTTTATATTATTATTATTATGTCGGAGCCCAAGGCATTACGTAGGTGGTGGGGTGGGTGCCGAAAGGCCAATGAATTGGGCTCTTGAGTTTTGTAATTTTAGGTAAGCTAGGACCGTAATGTAATGAATAGGTAAGTTAAGGCTACGTTGTAACACATACTCATTAATAGAATTAGGGTTTAAGTTTTATATTATTATTACTAAGTTGGAGCCCAAGGCATTACGTAGGTGGTGGGGTGGGTGCCGAAAGGCCAATGAATTGGGCTCTTGAGTTTTGTAATTTTAAGTAAGCTAGGGCTTAATTGTAATGAATAGGTAAGTTGAGGGTACGATAGCCGATAGACTCTGAATTTCAAAGTCCGTTGTCAGAGGTAAGCCTTGGTGGCCAGTGGTGAACCGGCAATGGTTTACTATCCGGACGGCAATGGTTTACTATCTGCACGGTAATGATTTACTATGCGGCACGACCTTAGTCTACTACCCGCACGGCTTCCGGACGGCAAATGGTTTACTATCCGCACAGCAATAGTCTACTATCCGCACGGCAATGGTTTACTATCCGGTGCCCTGGCTGTCGGTGAACCTCTGTGCAAAGGAGGAAGAATGAAGGGGGATTTTCGACTATCGTACCATTAACAATTTAATATAGATTAGTTAAGGTAATTGAATAGGTAGATAGGATTATTTTTATTAAGCAATTTGAGATGCAAGCACCGCTAAGCTTTCTAATGAGAATATTTTCTTTATCTTTTTCTATCAACACGGGCTGTGTTTCAACAACAATCTCGAGGAAGACTGGCACCAGTTATGGAGGACAACGCAAGAACCGGAAGGCATTCATCATTCTGCCTTTGTGGAATGGACGACGGTAAGTTTGTTTACATTTTACTCTCTTTATTATTCAAAAATATTATTTATTTGCCATTATTTTTACTTTAGACTTTTTTGCTTCTAAAATTCTAACATTCATTTACTACTACGCTAATAAAAAAAAATTTGTCTACAGAATGATGAGAGGTGGGTAGTGGTGGGAGTCAGCACGTTTCAGATGGTGGTCTCATGATAATCGTTCCGATGACAATTCGAAGAAAACAACAACGACGGTTTTTGATGTATGGTTTGGTTTCTTTTTTTTCTCATT